GCTGCGGTGCATGGCGGGGGCGGGGGGTGGTCGCGGGGCCGCCGCGAGCTCCTCCGCGAGGCCGCCGTGGCTGTGCGCGCGCGGCTTTGGCTCGAGGGCGTCGACGCCGGCGTCGAGGTCCGTCGGCGACGCGTCGTCCGTTGGGGGCTCCGAGGCGCCGGAGCGGTCCTCGCGGGTCACCGTCGCGCTCGGCAGGTCCAGGGAGGCTCCGCTCCCGAGCGCGTACGGGTGAAGCAATATCGACACCTGGAGGCGGAAATTGATCGTTCGTCGATTACGTCGCCACGCTTGTGCCCACGCACTTCAATTGAAAAAAGTAATCAATTCTATGGTCGTGTAATATTTTTAAGAAGAAACTACCTGGCAGACTTTGCCGTAGACGTCGACGAGCGGGTAGAGGGCGTCGAGCGAGTCGGGCACGAGGCCGAGCGCGCAGAGGGGCCGGCCGTTCGCCGCCGCCACCAACCGGCCGTCGCACAGGAACTGCACGCCGACCACGGTGCGCTCGCTCACCTCCTCCAGCGCGCGCGCCGCCTCCGGCCGGAACTAATACGCGCACACGATCACATTCAAATACAACTTGCACCATTAAATATTAGGTAGGTAGGAGGTAGGTTCACTCACGTATGTGCCGTTGTCCGCGCAGAGGTCGGGCGCGAGGATCCACGCGGGCGGGTCGACGGCACCCGCCAGGTCGGGCAGCTCGTCGGGAAGATATCCGAGAGCACCCACGCCCACGCCGCCCGACCAGCTCGCGTCCACTTTGTCCACGCGGAACTGTAACCACAGGTGCTTCACTACACGACATAGCCTTCATATCAACCAAATCAACACTTGTAGGAGTCGAGCATAGACACTACGTGACGTGCGATCAGTATAAACGTACCATAAAGCTCTGGCCGCGCCTGATCGGCTGGCTGACGACCGCCAGGCCGCCCTTGTAGCCGGTCGTGCGCACCGCCACCGTGTCTGCCGAGTTTTCATTGTATAATAACACAAATTTATTAAGAGTACAAAAGTTTCACATTAAACGAAATGTAAACATTTCACTCACCGGAGCTGCAAAGCTTGACATTGCTGCCGTGCACGTTGTGGAAGGTGTAGGGGCGGGGGGTGCGGTGGGTGACGAGCGAGGGGGTCGCGGCGGGCGCGGGAGGCGCGGGGGAAAGCGCGGGCGTGCCCTCTATGCCTTCCATGCTGCCGTCCATTTCCTCGCAAGGCTTTAGCGACGTCACCTCTTGGAACGTCTCCACCTCGCGTCTCATGAACGACTCGTTTACTGCAACAAAGTAACAAACTTAAAAACAAATTAAATACGATTTTATATACCGTTTAACATTATAATGGTTTTAAAATGTCCGTTACAAAATTTAATTAAAACAAAATAGTTAGAAATTTTATGACTCACGGTGCGCAGGCAATGCATTGGGGACCATCTTGTTCATAGCTTGAATCTTGCTGACTTCGCCGTGTAACTCGATGACCGCATACACTTTCTGATAATATAAAAACACGTTCATTAGATTAGACCTGCTTTGTCTATAACGGTAGGAATGGCAAGGTAGGAAATATATAGGACGTCTTACATCGGGCACGCCTTCAAAGGCGACCTCGAGGGGCTCGTAGTTGTAGTAGACCACGACCCGGTGGTCGTCGGTCAGTTTGAGCCCGATGCGGTCTCCGGGTCTCAGCCACTCGAAGGAGGGCACCACGAGCCTCGCGTCGTGTTCGCGGCTTCCCGGTTTTGAATAAAACATGTGCTTCCCTAAAAAATAAAGTAGTGAATTAATAGGACTTAAAAGGTTTTATTTATTTTACAATTCAATTATGTAAGACTAGCCATCGCCCGCGACTCCTTCCTCGCGGATATAAAAGAAAAAAACTTTACTAGTAGCCTATGAGTTCTTCCAGACTATGTTCTACATCTGTGCCTAATTTTTGCGAGATCCGTGCAGCCATTCTGCAGATACCTTCGAACAAACGTCCATACATCTAAACATGCGCATTTATATATTAGTAAGATTGTTTTTAAAATTCATTGAGTATGTTGTAGTGTCGCGTTGCAACTGACCGTCGATGTATGCAGTGAAGTGAGGCAGGTATGTGATGGCGGGCGGGAGGCTGCGGTTGACGTGCGCGTTCAGGATGTTCACATCTGTGATGCCCACACGCAAGCCCCCCGCGAACCCGGCGCGCTGCTTTAATATCTTCACCTGTCACAAAATTCACAGCTAAGTACAGGGAACTCTAAGGGTGAGTGCTTATTTAACCACTATGAGTGTAAGACTCTTGGTAACTTTCGTGAGTTAAGGGCGTTTAGTTTAATAATTTTGAAACACCGATGATATTCAGAATCTTAACACTTTGCATGCCATTACTATTTTTTCATATGAAAGTTAACACTTCAAGCGTCGGCAGCACTGAAGTGTTAGTTATCAAAAATAATAAAATATACGTACTTTCATGATCTGATAATTCAGAAGTACATAGTTTTACATAACAATATGGGGGAATTTTTACCTCAAACATCTCTTCAAGTGCCAGATGTGAGGAGCTGAAGACAATAGCAGCAGCAGGGTCAGGCAGGAACCTCGTCGCTATCGAATATTCCTTGGTCACGCGCGCATTATCGCCACAGTATTCAGAAAATGTGCTGTTAATACAAAAACATTTTAAAAATTAGAACATTAAGATTAAAGATTTAAAAATTGTAAATAATATAATTTACAAGACACACAGGATGTATCTAAAGTGATGGATTAAATATATTTGAAGTTTGCGGGCTACAAAAAGTCCAAACTTCAAGCTTATTTGGAATGGTAAAAACAAATGTGTGCAAAAACTTCTGTAATTTTACTAAAAAATATATAATTAGATTTTCAACGCATCTGAGGTGTCAAAGTTACCAATAATTGTTGACATTTGAATATCACTTAAGTAACACCCTGTATAAAATTATTTTAGATACCAGTAAGGCTGTGGGGGTGCGGCAGGTTGTTGAGTCATGTCCAACAGTGAGTTGTCAGATGCAGTACCGGGGTTGTAGTTAAACGTACGCGCTTCATTCTGCAATATCGTCACCTGGATAACATTAATTTTATTAACGTCAAAATGCAATAAAAAACAATATTATTACGATAAGTGATACGAATTAGCTGTTTACTTTTCATTAGCAATTTATATATGTTAAATTAGCTATTCGTCTTTGCAAAAATTAAATAAACTTATGGAAACTTGAAGGATAAAATGTTTTTTATTCCTTCCTAATAACAATCCTAAGTTTTCAATGCTGTAATGGCTATATTTTTATCAGAATAAGATGGTTAAAAAATATTTTCGTTAAGTATTAATAGTGAAAACTCATTATATGAAAATGATTTAAAGACAGACAGACTGACCTGCGTGCACTGGCCGTAGAGATCGACGACTGCGTAGATATTGAGATGAGGCACATGCCACGCCTGGCCCATATCCATGCCGTCCAAGTAGTAGTGCAAACTGCGGTCCGCATGCCACATCATACCTGACAAATATACAAATTTATTATTCAAACATTGACACTAAAATGATCCTAAGTGGAAGATAATCCATTGGCAAAGTAAAGAAATGGATAAAGAGACAAATATGTCAAGAGATGATAGAATGGGTCGTATTATGGTATCCCAGTTATAACCCATTGGTCGAAATTCGAATCCAGGATATTTTTTATTTCTGTTTTAAAAATAGCTTCATGGACATCTTCTCCATGTTAATTTAAATAGTTTAATGTATGCAATTTAATTTAAATGTCATGAACACTCACCGACTCTACTACCAACAGACAACGTGTCTAGATCCAGTCTGTATCCGCTGCGCACGCATTCACCATCTTTCATGACCGCAGCACCGCTCAGTACGTACGTATCCCCCGTCAGGTCAGTTGCAGTGCCCGCCAGCGCACCTCCAGCACCACTCTCCAGGTCCTCGGGCCGAATTCCAGTCACACCTAAACAAAGGCAGAAGATGAAATAAAACATCAACAACATATCTATACATCATCTCATCATTTAAGCTTAACTATCGTAGGTTTCTGAGACAAAATATCCTATATAAAACATATTGATATCTCTCTTTTGTCAAATGTAATGAGAGGGATGACGATATGTTTTTATACAGAGATTTGTGTCTCAGAAACCTACTAACTTTTACATTAGTTTGAAGATATTCCTAATTCGATCTAGCTATCTAGTACCCTATTCAAAATTAATTCAAAACTAGAGGGCGCTGTATCAAATATGGGAAAAATATGATTAATTATGTATAATAGTTACCCATTTCTATGCTGCCTATCCAGCAATCGACCATAGCGTCGATACGTAGCTCAAACATATCACATTCACGCAGCGGTCGCGAACTGAACAGCACCGCGTCGTTGAACTCCGAGTAGACAGCAGCGCGTGATGCTGTCAGCCGGGACCGTGACAACACCGCATTGCGACCATGCACCAGATGGAAACACATCTCCCTAACAAAGACATACACACAAATACATTAATAAAAATCTACAAAATATAAAACTCAAGTAATTCATACAAATTTCATTTGAATTTTGGTACTGCATAGTGTATTTCAGACTAATCGTGGGTTTCTGAGCCGAGCAGAATCGTTGTTTAAAACATACTGTTGTCTCTATTTTGATGATGATATAATATGTTTATACAAAGCTTTTGGTTTCGGAAACCATTTTTAAGTTGGTAAAATTTGTTAGACAGCACATTTATTTATGTTATTAATTTACTTAAGTAACTTACGGAAAAGAGGTGATAATAGATTCAGTGGAGAGCGGTGATTCAGGCGAGTATAAAGGCGGGTCAACTCGGCCCTCCACAATGCTTACTTGACCCGCGCGTCCGTACAGATCTGCGGAATAAACCAAATTAAATTGACATCTTATAAAACAAAGAATAACTTTTACAGCTTATTTGGATTTTTACTCACCGATAATACCGTAGATTGGATCAGGTACATTGTAGGCAGCGGGGCCCTGGTCTTCACCATTGATGTAAAAGTGCAGCACGCCCAGGCTGGTCCGCATCAGGCCGATTGTATCTCCTTCCTGCAATTTTACCAACGGTAGAGCCAACAGCTTCCCTTTTTACAAATTACTACAGTAAAAATCTAAAAATAAACAGTATATAGAATATATGGTCACATAAGAGCTGATGATTTGCTAGTTTGAAGTCTAGTCTATGAAACTATCAATATAACATTGGTAAAGTTTTACCACCAGCCTGTTGAGATTCCTGGTGTACTGCGAGCTGATGATGACGCCGTCGCGGATCACGTCCTCGCCAACCAAGGCCCACGTGCCACTTCTGTCAACATAGCTCCACTTACAAATCGGAGAATGAAACTATTATAGTTGCTATTAAAATGCATCACTATAATAAATAAGTCTGTCTAGATCACTCACAGTACGTTTTTAATTGGTCAGTAAGAGTTAACTAAGTGGGGCAGTTAAAGTCTTAACAATATCTTTGTTATTCCACTATCGTGATCTTTATATGAAAGAGAGTGTCTTTGTCTTTTTCTCTCTCTGGTTCATAAAAGTGTATCGTCAGTCGAACCCAACAGTAAAACACAAAATGGTTTAATATACAGAGATTTTTTCAAAGAGAATGAAAGAGATGAGGATATGTATGACTCACTTGGCGTTGCTCAATTTGTATGGGAACTGTATTTCATTTGCTGTATGCTGCGTGACTCCGATCTCAATGCTCCCAGCCCACTTTGGTACGATCACATCGACTCTAACTTGGAACAACTCATCACTCCTCAGGGGTCGGTTTGTCATTACGAGCCCTTCATTGAAGAATTCCATAGCGCTGTACATAAACATTACATTATATAATAAAAAAATTCTGCAATAATACGATATAATTCTTATATATTTTAAATTGCATTACATATACAGGGCTGTTGTTGATGAAAACTAAATATATTTTTTTATTTTTGTATATAAGGTACTTAGATTTTAACTAAATTGGTTGATTTTTTTTTAATATTTATTTACAACAGCTGCCATGCATAGTATATACAAATACATATAAGTATATAAAAATGGATACTCACTTAGGCCTATAAGCAGTCTTACCATTGTTAATAATAACAACATTCGAAGCACGCATCGTATGAAATAAATGACTGTCATCTTCTATTTCATTCATATCTGCATCTATATCTGCATCCATGTCCATCTCAGGTGCCAGCTCGTCTGTACAATAATATAAATATTAATTATATTAAAAAGTATGGAATGACTGTGTGAAAGAGGATATGCGTAAGAAGGGGGGTAGATATCACGGCTGATAGAGATGTATGGAGTAGTACATATTGTGCTGACCCTCAATAGGGATAAAGGCACGTTGGTGATGATAATAAATGGAAATGTTTGAATGTATGTTTCTTAGAAGATATCTCCAAAACAACTACTAGACCTCACTGAATTAGATGTAGAACATAGTGTGGAAGAATAAATAGGCTATTTTTTTTAATTCCACGCGGATGAAGTCGCAGGCTACAGCTAGTACTATAACATATACAGGTGCATATACTAGCTGCAGTCCTCGACTCCGTCCGAATTGAAAGATAGATAGTAGCCGATTTTCAGAGGTACTGAATATGTATATAAAACTTCATAAAAATCGGTCAAGTCGGTTTGGAGGAGTATGGTAACTAACATTGTGAATTGAATTTTATAGGTAAGAATATAAAGAAGAGAGATTTTTATTTTTGTATATAACAAATAAAGTCAAACAAACATGAACCATGTCAAAAATTCTTTTGATTTTAGAAAGTTATATTGTCCACTCACTTACATAGGCTATATTTTTAAAATAAAATTTACAAGTAAACAAATCTTATATCTTTATATATATAATTCTTCTGTGAGTGTGTATGTCACTGAACTTCTCTCAAACGACTGGACCGATTTTGATGAAAATTTTTGTGTGTGTTCAAGGGGATCTGGAAATGGTTTAGATTCACAATTTTCATCAAATATTAACTTCATATTAATTTATTCAAATTAAAGACGTGTAGACAGGACAACGTCTGTCGGGTCCACTAGTAATATATATAGTTATACATACTTAGGCCGGCTAACACCGATACGCTGGGCAGCGGCGATATTTCATGGAGGTTACTATCATCGTATGCATCCACTATAGAGACCTGCATAAACAAAAAACATATAACAAATAATAAACTAATAAATAAAATACGTTTTTCTTGACATCAGGGGCAAACAAAAATATCGTGTGGTGGAACACGGTTATGTGGGGTTTTACCCACCAAAACCCACTTGATGGCTGTCATCTAGTACAATAATTGTGTATTGAGCTGATGATGATGATAGATGAGCTAAAAGTACCTTGGAAGTCATGCCGTAGAGATCAACAACACCCCAGACGGGCGCGGCCACGTCTCTTGCTGCCACGCCCTGGTCCACGCCGTTGATGAAGTAGTGGAGGCTACCGCACGACTTCCTCATCATGCCCACCATATCTCCCTCCTAGTAACAAAGTTATCACAATCATCATACATTAAAGTTCCTCTATTTTTATCATATGTTACAATTTTCAATAAAAACATACAAAAATTGTTGACACAGAAATTTGTTTACTTTTGCAATTTGTTTGAGTTAAGTGCCATATGTATTAGCCATTTACATCCATACCTTTTGTCTCTTTATAAAGGATTTCATAATAAATTTATTGGATGCATTTGTCTATTAGCACCCACTTGCTTTAATAAAATATTATTCAGTATGTTTTAAGTTTTAAATACCTTATATATAATACTATAATGACCTGGATACATACCTTTAATTCATCAAGATTCATAGACCCATACTCGGTGCATGTGCCCTGACCATTGATGAGCACTTTGGAGCCAGAGAGCATAACTGTGCCGGATTCCATATTAGTCATAGTTGACGGGAACTGGATCGTAGCTGGATTGTGATTCGTAACGCCAACCTATAATTTAGCGTAAACGGAGTTGAAGACGGTGTCGGGCGACAGCTAGTTTCTTATAAAATAAAATGAATGCTTGTATGTTTATTACGGATACCTAAACTAATATTGCTTGCATTATAATTTTCTATTTAAAACATTAAAATCAGGTACTACGAGGGCTATGTATTAGGTAGTATGTACTACATTTGTGTGGTGTGTGTGTATAAGGGTGTTGGGGTGGATTACCTCAATGCTGCCGCTCCACTTGTGCACAATGCGCTCGATTCGTATCTCAAAAAGTTCATCATCGCGCAACGGTCGTGATGTCATTACCACCGCATCATTATAATCGTCCATCGGCCGAGCGCGCTCCGCCGTCCTATATACAGTATCATGTACATATGGGTACATATAAAAATTTGAATCACATAGAGAATTTTAAATACATATTGTCATAGACAACAATATATTCTCTGCGGGGGTTTGGGAGTCCCCACAATCTCCGTGTCAAGCCTCCAATGGCATGGCATATCTAACTGTGCTGTTGGGTCATCACATCGTCTCACTCAACTTCCCTCCTCCATCAATTTACTCTCATAAAATTTATACAAGTAATACAATAGAATTTATTAACATAACATTATAAACAAATCACCTATTGTAATGTGAGAGACGAACCAGTACCCCGCATCTAGGATGAAATCTCAGACAGTCTTGATTATCTGAAATTAGAAATACATCAACTGAACCTGCCTTTATTATGACATTTTGCAGAATAATAAGATCCAGAACATTTCATACTGAAACTGAAACAAGGAATGAACTGATTTTGAAATCAGTTCATTCCTGTAGGCTTATGAACACAATGGAACTTATTTATAAACAAAAAATCTAAATTATATTAACAACACAACTCATGTACCCATGGTAACCCAAAGGTGAAGGCAGAGATAACGAATTTGCATTTAGCGCGTTCCTAACTCTCCTAATATTAAACTAACATATAAAGCATTGTGTAAGGACTATGACTTACAGTAGGCACAAGGGGATTCCACACAATTGTAAACATATTCATCGCGACTACTCTTCGGGAATGTGTTAACAGTTGGTTCATAGCTAACAACCTCCATGAGTGACACTGGCCCGTCATGACGCACTGCTTCATTTGGCTAAAACATACAAAAATAACATATAATAAAGTTTTTCTACAATTGAGTATGCTATTAATCTGTTTCATATACTACACTAATAACATTATTTGACAATCAATAAAAGACATGATTATACACAATTCATCTCCTAAATTTTACAATATGATTTGTTAAATATTATACTTACAGATTCTGCATTTGCTATCGCAGGTCTAGGTGTAGTGGGTGATTGCGGAACCAGAGTGATTTGAACGCATTGTCCATATAAATCAATCACCGCGTATAAAAGTGGGGGCATATCCATCGCAGCTACACCAAGACATCTTCCATTGATGAAAAATAGTAACTCAGCCTACAAAAGTGTAATACATATCGTTTTATTACTTATACTCTACTATGTTTATTTCTTACTACCCACGACTCCGTCCGCACGGAATAAAAAAACAACTTAATGAGTAACCTATGTGTTCTTCAAGACTATGTTCTACATTTTTGCCAATTTTCATCAAGATCCTTTGAGCTGTTCCGGAGATACTTTCAAGCAAACATCCATCCATCCATCCATCTAAACATTCGCATTTATAACATTACTTAGTAAGATGCATATCATTGAAATGTCATTTGACACACACAATACAATGAGATTAAAGACATGTAGAAAAAGATATAACTGTTATATATCAGATATTATTTTGACTGTTTAATGAGAAGCAAATTGAAATCCTTGACCATATTCACCATATTCACTAAGGGTTGGCTGAAGGCCCTCAGTAAGGACATATTTGACAACATAAACTTATTAAAAAAGACTTACTCGACTAGTTCTCATGACACCCACACAGTCCCCTTCCTGCAGTGTGTCAAGCTCTGGACCATATGATGGTAAATGTGTTACACCATCTCTCACAACTGAACTGCCTGATAGAATCTAGAAAAAAAAAATTTACAAATAATACAATGTTGCCAATCCAAATTGTATAATATAGATAGCTGCTATATACAGCCATATATAACCATGAAAGAAAATATAGAATGTTTATTGTATACGTAATTCTTTTACAAACCAGTGTTTTAACATAGTTTCTTTGTGAGTTCACTTTCATGCATAAAACTTGCTGTGGCGCAGACTATGTTGATGTTATTAAAAATGGTAAAATAATGAATTGACTAATATTTTTTTTAATAATACTTTCATATATGGATATGTTTGAACTAAACAATACTTGTTTATAACTCACCCATGCAGTATTTCTCAATTTGGTTGCTGTTGCAGGTAAGTCCATATACTCTGGATTTTGGGTTGTAACACCAATTTCGAGGCTTCCATTCCAAACATTAACCTAAGCAGATTATTTACATAATTAAAGTTTCATGTTTGATTTTTTGTTAACATAGATTTAATAATCGAAAAATCAGTGAGCAACGGGTCACATCCGCGAGATAATACCAGTACCATTCATCCTGATGAAGGGCCCCCGATGGGCTCGAAACTAGTCGGTGCCGCCACCGGACGAATTTACGTGAGTGTTTAGCCGTGTTTATATATCAGTTTAGTATGTCTCACGAAAGTTTGAATAATCTAAAAAATGGCTTTAATAATCATAGAAATAAATAAATTAATACACTTTTTTTAGTAATAAATATTTGCAAAGACTACAAATTTTCAATTATGTATCTAGGCATAATATGTAGCAATACAAAAATATAGGAACAGTTAACCCAATATCTATCAATATCCAATTATAATATAGCATACATACAGATAAAAACTTAAGTATTAAGTACCTACATTATATGTAGACAATACAAAGAAACCATTCAGGCTTTAAAAACTACAGAGTTAAAATGTAAAAAACCTGATTATCAGCTTCTGACAAGCAATTTTTAACAACATTAAAAGTAAACAATAAAAATTCATATTATATTGAAGATGAGGAGAATTATTGCTATTCTAGTTACATAATACTGCATTTAATAAAATTAATGCAAAGTGGTACTTGACTACTTTGAGGGCTAGGATACCAACCTTGCGATCGATGCAAACCTCGAACATGGCATCGTCTTTTAGGGGCTGGTCGCTTAGAACCAGGCCGTGATTGAACTCGACAAAGTTCCTTACTGCCGTATAATTATTGTGAAGAAGGGTGACCCTGTCTCCACATCTCCTGTGGAAGCGCATCGTGACCTTTCCTCAGATTTTTCTTTTAATATTTTTCTTATATTATGTAAATCTTAAGTCTTGAATTACGTGACAATGTTGACGCCATAATTTCTATTTTTATTTTAAACTCCCAATGATAATAAAAAGATTAATTAGTTTATTAAAAAGATACCGCCGGTATTACTTTTTTAAATTTTAACCCCACTCTCCCACTTTTGTATTGACTAATAGCACAGATTAAAAAAAAATTCTGAGTGGCAGACAGACTATCAAATCATTTACATGTAAATGTTTCTACTTTGGTATAGATTTTACGTTTTACAATACGATTTAGTTTTTTTAAGTAATAAGATAATGAAGGGCTAAAAAGTAAAAAATAAAATGAACATTTATTTAGTTATCAAATAGTTTTTTTGGAATCTTCTTAGAAAAACAAAAAGCTTGTCTATGTATGTCTACTCTATGAAACTTATATAAGAAATTGATGATTCATCGCAAATGCAAGTGTGTGCTGCTATGTGCTTTATTTGTCGTACTGTCAATGATGTCTAATGTTTATTTTTGTGTATTAATACAGTTTTATATTGATTATCTTCCAATATTTAACGCAAATAACAGTTCTAATCATAATATGGTCCAAAAATCTCCTTCGGCCATTAGTAAAAGATATCATCAAGGGTGCCTGCCTAACTTGCTTGGAAGTAGTGTAAAATAGACTGCAGTTTTGCGTCTTATCCTCCACCCCATATTAACTGGTATGTAGAACTTTTATCTATTACACTGTGCCAAAGTATAATCCGCAGTTGCTATTACTGCTGCACAAAAAGTCCTTTCGATCGATAATACCGCGACCACACCCATAAAGTTGAAATAAATCGATAATTCATCTGATTTGTGTGTGTGGGTGTGGAGACCAATTTTTTGTCCACTTCCCTTAGGAAGTGTGAAAAGGGAAAATGGACTTGGCAGATGAAGGTAGAATAAGCTCTTCTATAAAGAGTTTGCATGTGCATTTAAAGTAGGCAATGTAAAGGGTGGGCAAATTTCAAGTTAGGAAGTAGATTGGCTGTAAATCGATAAAATACTTAGGATTGAGCTGTTATCTTTTGATATTTATTTAGTAACAAATTTGGGAAATTTAAAACATATGATGCTTCATGCTTGAATAAATAATTTTAATTGTGAAAATGTAGTATCAAAAAGGTCAAAATTTTACTCCATCGCTACGTAAAATTCGAGCAGCTTACAATAGACCAAAAAATAACTCATAGGGGCCATAGTAATGGCAAATAGCTGTTGTACAGCGACATGTTGAGAATCAATCTGCAACATTAATTCATCAACAATTGGGCATAACTGAAGGCTCTTTGCACAACATTTTGCATAAAGAACTGCATCTTCGCACATATAAAGTTCAACTGGTTCAAGAATTAAAGCTGACCGACCATTATTTGCTCGGAAAATAACTAATTAAAGTAAATTGGCCCTTTGAAACACTAAATGAAAACCACTTGACTAAATTATCAACAAAATCATCTTAAGTGTTGATGCCCATTTTCAATCGAGCGGTTATGTACACAAACAAAATTGTTGCATTTGAGGCTCTCAAAATCAACTAACAGTCCTCGGAAAACTATTACATCCGAAGAGAGTGACCATATGGTGCGGTTTGTGGTCAGGTGGCATTACAGGCATTTTCAAAAATGAAGAAGCTATTCTGCAAAATATGGTTTAACACTTTGTTGAAGGAGCGGACATCTGCTGATATGCTACATCTGGATATTTGTCCGATATTTTATTCTTTCATAAATTCCCATATTTCTACTTTACATTGTTATCTATAAAACTGAATTAGTCAAAAAAGTTTGTTTTTAAGCCAATTTACTTCCAAACGTAAAATTTCCTCACCCTTTAAATGATAGTTTTTATAATAAAATTTCCTTTTTCATGCAGCGATAATGTGGGCATATAATAAATAAATACAGAGACTATAAAGTAATTGTGCGTGAAACAATATTTTATAAGTTATTAAAAAAAAAATCATTTTGTGACTTTGTCCGCGTGGACTTAAAAAATAAAACTTGTGAGTGACTTGTGTGCTATTTCATACAATAATCTAACACAATATTGTACAAAAGACACTAAAAAGTCATTTTTATTTAACTCCTGCTCTTTATTATTTACCGTCTTCTCTAACTGCAGAATTGGATTACTGTGCCACTTCTTTTAATATATATTGTTGTTTCTGTTTTGTCAAAGAGATTGATAGGGATGACAATATGTATTGAGTATACGAAAATAGTTGTACTTTGTATTTGAGAAGAATTTTTAGTAGTAGTGTAATAGTAATTATTATTAGTACTTTTGAACTCTTATAAAATTCGGATTATAAGTATATTTAATATATTAGTTGTATGTTAGTCGTAGACATATTAATATGAAATAGATGCTTTAAAGGATCACTTCCTGGAAGGAGAGGGATCGCGTTGCGAACATAAGTCGCGCCATCGCCCAAGCTGATTCAGATGTTTGACGACGCGAGAGTTATGTAATCAACTCGCAGGCTATTTACGAAGCGGCCCATTATCATCACTCGTAAGCGACGATTTAAACTTGCAACAAGTGCGTATAAAGTTATTGTTTATAGTTAAGTAAATAAATCGAAAAAATGTTGTGGAATGTGTACTGGGAGTTGGGCCCGGAAGACACGACGATGGAGCCCCGCAGCGCGAAGCCTTGCGCAGTGGTGAGGCCGAGCTGCTTTAATATACCCCAAGGCTCGTGGTTTAATGAGGTGGAAGATCCGGCACCTGTGTCTTGTATGGTCCCGGCCACCTTTACAGGCCCTAGGACCTTTAAAGTCTCGAGAACCGAAGGAGGCGTAGTGTCTATTGTAGAGACAAGGCACCTTCGATTCACATTTTCATACAACGCGCGCGGAGGAAGTAAAATACACATACGCAGGATAATTAACGAGTACACAGTTCGTGAACAGGTACTGTCTCCATACACCGATATTATGTCTATCATGAAACGAAAATTGAAAATTAGAGGTTCTGCTAAACTATTTCAAAAACGACTTAACGATATGGGTTACTTTTGGTATATGACAAATAGAACACCAGCGACAACCATTCTTTTGGAGTGCACAGGGTTGAGACGTTGCCGCCAGACATATATTCAAGCAATAAAAAAATACCGCGCAAAAGGTCGGCCCATTATTTATTTGAGCAAATATTTTGACTATAAGTCACAACGAGGCCGTGTTCGTTGTAACACGTTTACTCTGACCGCCCACTCTGCTACTGGGCCTGCACCGCATTCTATTGATATGTACGAAATTGAAAACAATGAAAACGCGGAAGAAGAAAAATTTATGATATGTAAAAAATGGATTCGCCAGAAGGTAATTCCGAACATTCCGCCGAATGCAGTGATCGTATTGGTAAACTTACCATCCCAGAATAGACCGTTATATCCTGACCTAAAGGACAGTGCATCTAAACTGCAAATGCAATCCTGGCTTCTATTGAATAGAAAACCGATAAAATTGTATTGGTACAAATCCCAACTGCCCGAGATAATCAGGGTGTCCTCGATATATGCTATCGACGATCTGTTCAAGAGCCGTACGGGGAGAGATCACCCTGTGCTGCGTTTTCCGCCGCAACATTACGACTTGGATATAACGCACCTCTTTTGGTGTGATGTTTTTTTCAATCTCAATCCGAGACCTCTCTCTATTAGAAGGCAATTGCGAAATGCAATTGAGAGACACCTCGTTAAAATGACTGTGAGCAAATTGAATTTATTGCAGAGTCAGTTAGCTGGTACAGAAAACGAATATCAGAACAGAGATAGCGCTATCGACAGGATGACGGATAATTACCAGCTGTCCTGCGATTTGGGTTGTTATTCGCTGAACTTGAATCTACTTAACCTGGATACACGCTATCTGTCCGTTTTGCCCGCATTAAGAGATAGGTTAATCGGACACAATTAATATGCATCAATCTTTGGATTCTAAAAAAATATCGATAACTTCAATGACGATTTTATTATAATCATTACATTTTAAATTATATTGAAATAAATGAAAAAAAATATATGTATATTGAAATATGAACTCTGATAAATTGTAATGAAATATATATATATATATATAAATTGTGTTAAAATAAAAAATAAACATATGTATATTGAAATAAATGAAAAAAGATTATTTTGAAATTAGAAATCTGATAAATTGTAATGAAATATATAAAAAAAAAATTAAATTGAAAAAAATATGTATATTGTAATAAATGAAAAAAGATTCATTTGAAATTAGAACTCTGATAAATTGTAAGGAAATATATATATATATATATATATATATATATATATAAATTGTGTTAAAATAAAAAAAAAACAAGTATATTGAAATAAATGAAAAAAGATTATTTTGAAATTAGAACTCTGATAAATTGTAAAGAAATATATAAAAAAAATTGTGTTAAAATAAAAATAAACATATGTATATTGAAATAAATGAAAAAAAGATTATTTTGAAATTAGAACTCTGGTAAATTGTAAAGAAATATATAAAAAAAAATTGTGTTAAAATAAAAAAAAAAACAAGTATATTGAAATAAATGAAAAAAGATTATTTTGAAATTAGAAATCTGATAAATTGTAATGAAATATATAAAAAAAATAAATTAAATTGAAAAAAAAATGTATATTGTAATAAATGAAAAAAGATTCATTTGAAATTAGAACTCTGATAAATTGTAAGGAAATAAATTAAAAAAAAATTGTGTTAAAAAAAATAAACATATGTATATTGAAATAAATGAAAAAAAGATTATTTTGAAATTAGAACTCTGGTAAATTGTAAGGAAATATATAGAAAAAATTGTGTTAAAATAAAAAAAAAACAAGTATATTGAAATAAATGAAAAAAGATTATTTTGAAATTAGAACTCTGGTAAATTGTAAAGAAATATATAAAAAAAAATTGTGTTAAAATAAAAAAAAACAAAAGTATATTGAAATAAATGAAAAAAGATTATTTTGAAATTAGAACTCTGATAAATTGTAAGGAAATATATAAAAAAAAAATTGTGTTAAAATAAAAATAAACATATGTATATTGAAATAAATGAAAAAAGATTATATTGAAATTAGAAATCTGATAAATTAGTATCCAAAATAATGTTAATCATTACTCGCTATTATGTATAAATATAATTAAACTTGTAATCGCAATATGTGCTTTTATTTTTCTTACCTATTAAAATTATACATGTAAATTTAAACTTCAATGAAATCCTTTCTAAATCATCATCTCAATCAAGTATTTTATCAATTACAGTGTCTTTATTGATTTTCGAATTGTGTGGAACTAACTTTCTAATTATCTATAATGTCTGAATGATTTCCTTATCTATTTTACTGCAGTGTACAGAATGTATTCATACCAACGTTACTTGCCTATATTAATTATTTCTATGACTACAATGGTAAAGTACATTTTGCACTTTCACTAAATTATTTTGAATCAGGAATTTGATAATTTTTGCTCATTTTACTCTTAATATAGGTCCATCTTAACTAGACTTACATCTAACGGTTTAGCTAAACTCACTCAGAATTAAAGTTATCCTTGTCAGTAGTGATGTTCCTCTTCATAACATGTCCATATCATACATAATCTAGGTTTTGCTGTTAACAGGAAATTGTTTATAGAAGCGTTTCTCAAAATTTTTTTTTTTTAAGATAAAATATTTTTCAGACATATATCCTAACCCAAGAGGTAATGTTAAATTTTAACTTAATTTTCTTTATCTTAATGCTATAAATATAAATTATATTAGTGTCACATTTTATGACAATTTTATACTGAACCGATTTTAGTTTTATGTACAGAACGTACAAGAGGACTGTTTTGCGGAGGTTAGATATATTTATCTCAAGTTGTATGTTCAAATTAGGCTTTTAATAATAATCTAAAATACATTTTCAGTGCAACGGAAGTGCTTGCGTGGCTAATGTAAGATTTTCAATACTATTTAGGTCCATTTTATGTATTTAAATAGGAACTACGAACACGCCTGGCATGCAGATTCGTCGTTAAGTGAAACTGAAAAGCATCATGAGAGCGATATATGGATTACCTAATTTAAGTAATTGGCATTGGCTGCTGTGGGCTGCAGACTTAAATAACATTTAAATTATGATTGACAGTGTACTGGGAATAATACTCGTGCTAAAGTGAGTTACTCGTATATTGAATAAAATTATACTTTTATTAAAAATGAAGATTGAATAAATCTTACTAATATTATAAATGCGAATGATTATATGGATGGATGGATGTTTGCTTGAAGGAATCTCTGGAGCCGTTGCACGGATCCCGTTGAAATTACTACTTTTTAGTTTTTTTTAATACTGCGCAGATGGAGTCGCGGGCGACAGCTAGTCTTAAATAATTACTATAGTTAACGAATTATTTTAAATAATCTAGGCGTCAGGTTTCGAATCTGTAGCATGGGTAAGTATTGAATCTTATGATACTCCTTCTAAATTCAAAAATATGTGTGAAGTAAACCCAGTACGGGCCAGCGTGGTTGACTATGTCCTTGACATCCCTAACTTAGGGTAGGCTCCTAGCCAATAAGCGGTGTCAAATAATGAACTGATGATGACGATACTTACTAATATTATAAATGTTAATGTTTGGACGGATGGATGTTTGTTAGAAGGTTTGGTATATCAAGAACGGCTGCATGGATAATTAAGCTTCTAATTATTTTTTTTTGTTAAATTCAGCGCGGACCGAGTCGCGGACTACAGCTAGTATGTTATGAATGCGAATGGATGGATGTTTGGTATAGATATAGAACGTAGACACATGAGATATATTTCATCTATTTTTTAATACTGCGCAAACGAAGTCGCGGGCAAAAGCTAATATATTATTACAAATATACAAACAGGTAACTGATCTTTGATTGTTTTTTGCAGTCATCTAATCCAGGGTCCGTTTCGCAGGTATTTGTATTTTGTGTAATAAGTAATAATATATGGAAATATGGACGTTGTCTTAGAAGACTTATGTATTAGTGTTGAATTTATGTAGAGTTAAATCTGACCTGCCCGAAGCAAAGTGACCTAATTTTTGCTAGCAGCCAGGCTCTGTATTGCGCAAGCGAAAATAGAAGCGAACTCTGTCTGCCATTATTGATTTTATGTGGCTCTTGTGTCCTTCATATTGCCATCCCTGTCGCTCTCAGTAACATAAAATAGAGACAACGATACAAGCAGCACAAGATACAATGTCCCACAATGCTTATATTTTGAATGATAATATGTTTTTCAGTGTTTTGGAATATTTTGCAAGTCCGGGGTAAGAATAAATTTTCGTTTGTCTTGCAACACAAAACCTTCAATTTATATGAAATTCAGTTGAAAAAGGTTAAACTTATTCAGTGTATAATTTTTACCACTGTTTCGATCCAAATGTTCTTTTATTCATTTTCAGTGCGACGGTGTCGGAACAGCTTGCACTTCATCGGTACATTTTCTAATACTAATTTACTTACTACGATTTTGTTCGTCTGGATTTTATACTTAAAAAAAACTTGCACCTCTCATTTTGGACCTTACAGAGCTCTAAGACTATTTTTAATTGATGCAACATATTGTGTGTCATTTTTCGTGTTAATATATTTAACTCTTTAACAGTGCTTTGGACAAATATGCAGAAATGCTGTAAGAATGATTTTTAATCTTACTACATCTTACTTAATATTATAAATGCAGAAGTAACTTTATCTCGCTTTTACACCCAAACTACTGAGCCGATTTAAATGAAACACATGTAGTCTAGAGCCCGAGAAAGGACATAGGCTTTTTCACGCAAAAAAGGGTTGTAAGGGGTTGATAGTAGGGATGGAAATTTGCATTAGAAGTATCGTTATCGTTGCAGTTATAAGCTTGAATTCCTTTTTAGGCTATTAATTTGTTATTAATAAATATGATAAAGTTAATTTAAAATATTATTTGAGTCTTATAAGTTTAGGTACAGATTGAATGTGAATTTAGCCAGTTTATATCTTGTTTACTATATAAATACAGTATGGTCCTCTTTTGCTGATCGTACCATATCCTTGGTTACGTATGCGCATTTTTTGCCTTACTTTTTTGTTGTTTACGAGTACGAAAAAGGTATGTTACATATTCATCGAATAAACGATTGTATTGATTTGCAGTGTTTTGGTGTAAAATGCGTATCAAATGTAAGTGTTTATTTGTCAACTATATATACATTATGTACAACATAAGTGAAGCAATTCAATATAAACTTTGTGAAAAACATCATCAGCTTATCAGTTCTCTGCTTTACATAGGCTTTCTAAAGCATACGGTCATCTACATCCAAGGATTTCCTGCCGTCTCAACAAAGTTATTGTTCAATGGAAGTTCCTTACGCTTTTGATCCTCATAGCATCTATTCCAGGAGTTCCCTCACGTCACCTAGGCACCTGGCAATGCTGGCTCGACAGATGTGCCCGGCGAATATAAATCTCTGCTAATGTTTCTAGGAAACAATCACGATTGCTTATTTATATTAATAATTATTTGTAGTGCACGGGAGAAGGCTGTGAAACAGTAGTGAGTACATTTATAATAGGCTAAATTAGAAACACATTGAAATAAGGTAGGTTTCAAAGCCAGTTTTGGTAATTTCATAAGTCCACAGTTATTGGTCTCGATTCTTTTATTTTATATACAAAATAATTTGGCAAAGTCCTACATTTTAACAACGAAGGAACTAGCACAAGAGCTTTGCCAGCCGATGATCAAAGCTTGATCTAAAGAGGTGGCAGGTAGTCACTTTTTTATTCCAAAGCGAATGCTTATTAACAAGGGAGTGGGAAAAACTGAAAAGTAGTTTTTGAGTTATCTTTGTAAAGAGATGTATGTAAGTAGTTTATACGTCTAAGTAGTTTATACGTCTATTTTAAATCTTTCGGTCCCCTCAGCTGCCCCTGAAGTAAGCGATCTATACTAAAGCATCAGTAGACTAGATAAAAATTCTACCAACAAGATTGTTTTTTAATTGTTTACTACTTTATTATGTTATTATAATATTTTCAGTGTCGTGGACGAGAATGCACCTCAACGGTATACTATTACTTTTGTTTAAAACGCTTTTGTCTGTAATTACGTTTCCACTGTCGAAACACTTGTGTAGACACATTTAATCCTTCTAAACAGATGTAATATTATTAGTGTTGGCACGCTTAAGACAAAGGTATAGAAATTAACAGATAGAAACTTTTTCATTGGTCCTTTGAATTTAGATGCTTCCACTGTAATTATCGAATTTCGACAAATGGACAACGTAATATAGCAGTTAAATATTAGATAGATAAACGAACTCGATTTATATAGCTAAGTCCTTGGAAGAGGGCGTCAAGTTCGCTGCCATTTTGCTCTTGGCCTCAACGTTTGTCATAAGTAATACCAATTATCTTATTTCAGTGTCATTCGGACAATTGTATTGCATATGTAAGTACTTATTTTCATTAAATTACTACAATGTTTTTACAACAGCTGATACTGCTGCTAAGACACGCTCGACCTTTGCAACATCAAAACCACACAGAACACGGGCGTCAGGTAAAGATGTTCATAGGTTTCGTCTGATGAGTGTAGTCAAGTCAATTCTAGTACGCTTCCCCTTCCGACTTTTGTAAATGTAATAAGGGAAGGCTTAGCCGATTAGATTTAGATTTAAACTTCAGTTGGCCGGTCGCTAATTTGTTATTTTGTTTCATAAAAATTAAATATTTTACAGTGTAAAGGTCCGAATTGTACTGCAACAGTAAGTATATACAATAAAGACAGAACTCACGTCCGTAACATAGAACGGTAGGCAATCACCACAATTTGCCATTTGAAGCTGTCTTGCCACACACGTCTACTATTAAAGCTAATAAGCAAATGTTAGGTACCTTCATATAGGAAATATGAAAAATTATGTCCTTAAAATAACAAAACTAAAGGCCACCATACAACTTTTTAAATCGTGCACGTTCGCCAGTTAATTATTGTCGAATCGAGAGAACGTAAATATTTTATTGTAGAAAGTATTAGGGAAGGTCCAATACTAGGCTGACATAAGCTGATAATGATGATTCATCATATTTTGATTTATTTCAGTGCCTTGGACACAAATGTTCTTCTTTTAGAGACATATCGAGAGACCCAGGAGATGTTACGATAGCTCCAAGTGAATCAGAAAATCGACAGGAGGCCATATTGATCCATTAAATATTCTATTTAAATTTAACACGTTCATTGCCGCCGGTATACGAGTGATGTCGTAATAATTGTAGCATAGAACGTGTTATTTTTTTCAAGAAATACAATAAAGTTTTATGTAACATGTGATTATTATAACGATGTTGTGAACTGTTCGAATGACACATCTGATTGACCCCTGCCCTTCGATGTCCTGTCGCGACATATTTATACTACCAATGAGTCTGTATTGCGTTGTCTGTATAAGACGTTATCACTCTCTCAGTTGAAACTTAAACAATATGTTTTTTGCACATTCAATGAGACGAATATGACGTGATACGTATTATTTATAATTATCATTTTTAAAACAAGTACTTCAACAGTGGAAAAACACAATTACCCTATTACTTATTTTAGATATGACCGTCGCTGAGTTCTGGAACGGCGATATACACTTCAATTAATAAAATCTTTTTTTTTGTAGCATACGCAATAAAAAAAAGTGTTGTGCAAGATAAACGAGCAGACTCGTATGCACAAATTCGTTTTAGTGTCTTGTTATCTTGCATATGAAAAAGTCCTTGTAAGTCAATACCGAGTGATATGTTTTATTCACCTTCTTCCTGTCTGCGAGTTGTTTTGCTTACATTGTTGTACACGTGACAAAATGAAAAAACAAAGAGGCGTTTATTTTTGTTCCCGGTAACTTGCAGAGCGATAAAATGATTAACAATGAGTAAATTATAATATACAGGACACGCAGTCTTTTTCATGCGCTTGTGTTGAGTGGTCATTTCGCTCATGTTTACAGTTTATATTTTTTAACAGAAATATTTAGTAACTTCTTAATCGAATGGTCAGTAGTCATAATACATCAGTTTTTTGTGGCGTGCTATAAGAAACTGGATCATTTGAGCATTGAATCGTGATTCCACCGCGGGGGGAGAATATCATGAGCAAAGATCAGGTTCGGTACCTTTCTATAAAGTAAAAACAACATCAAACAAAATTGCTTTTTAAGCAAGATCTCATTCGAGGTCGATTTAAAATGACAAAAGAATCCTACGTTCATTATTCATAGAAATTATTTACAAAAAAATAGATTTTATTAAGGATTTATAATTGGTAATAAAAAAGTATGTAATTAATAAAATTCCTTTATCCACTAAAATTTCTAAATTAAATTATACATCTTAAATAATCTGTGCAAGAACCGAATCTGGTATAACATTTGATGCACTGACCTGTATAAATGGATTGGCTAAAAGACCTAGCATTTTGTGCCTATTTCAATTTCGCCATTTGGCGCTGATGTTAGCGGTTTGTTGCGGTCGTATGGATCGAAGCGAAGCTGTCATTTTCAAGCAATCGCCTATCCACTTACAGAGAATAGTGCATTTGATGTCATATTCATTTGATGGCAAATGACAACAGCCAGAACGGCAAAGAGCATGTAAACTACTGCTAAACAAATTTGACAATTGACGTTTTCAGTTAGACATTTTGATAACAAAGATAGTTAAGCCGTTGTGAAAAATCAATTATAAACAAAGTCGAGATCCAAGATAAAGTCTTTATTAATATAGATATTCCGTGCCACGATGAGTTCACCGAGATCCTGCGACACTTTTGTGGTTTTACCACCACTCACGAAAGATAATCTAGTAATCTTTGGGAAAAATTCGGACCGTCCACAGAACGAAGTCCAAGAAGTAATTTGTATAAGAGACCGAGCCCGCAATATAAAATTAAAGGTAAAATACTCCGTAAATTGCCTTAATTCCACGAATATTACAAATTTAAAACTATTCTAACATTAAAAGACAAAATATTTTTCACGTGCGTAATTAGCATATTCTATAATTTTATTGAATAGTATACGAAAAGTGTTTTAGGTTTCAGGAACAGCACACGTCTTTAAGAAATTCAAAAACATCTATTTAAAAGAGTTGGTGAATGGATATTAAAGCATCGCATTAATATTCTTTAGAAAACTTACTCAGAAATCAATTTAAGGACAAATTAAAAACTTATCAGATGAAAATACATATTTTTTTAGTTATAATAAAAGTGTGAATCTGATTCACAATCTGTATAAATATCTGAATTTAGACACTACAATTAAATTAAACTTCTGATCTTTAATTTATTTTATAGTATTTCATCCCTATTTCAAAATACCTATTCATAATCATCAATTATTCTTCCTTGGTTCATGAACTATGGGCCGAGGATAAGATGAATGAATTGAGTGAAGTGATATGATTAAGTAGGAAATTGCATCTGAAATTACAAATGATAGATTGATCTAGGATACTATAGGGTTGCCATACCTCACTTAAAGTGGGATAAGAAGTGAGTTACAAAGGTGGTTAACTTATTATAATAATGTTTGTTATTTCAGTGTACTTACATTACAATTGATGAAAGTTCCGAGCCAATAAATAGTGTGATACTGAGCAAGCCTGCATGGATGTGGGGCGCTGAGATGGGTGCAAATGATAAAAATGTTGTCATCGGTAATGAGGCTGTTTGGACAAGCAACAATGAAGGAGAAGGTGATGCTCGGCAGAAGAGATTGTTAGGAATGGATTTAGTGAGGTGAGAATTTTATTCATGTTATTTTATGACATATCTCTACCTTGTTCCAAGTTAAACCAATCAACATATTTTTTCTGGGATTTCTTAAGAGTTGTAATTTTTTTCTAAGGCTGAGTTCTAATAAGTTGCCAGATCTAACTCTGAGTTTGCATTGCGGTAACACTAGCATAAAACATATTGTCATCCTTTTCTATCTGTTTATAGAAATTGAGAAATGGTTTTATACAAGTGTAATTTCATTGTTAAATGTTTATAAATATGTAGATGTGTGATTCGTATGAAAATAGTTTCAAATATGTTTTAAACAAATGTTATGGCAGTTGCGATTGATGATTCTTTTGACCACACCATCACTTAAAATTAGGTGAGATTGTGGTAAAGCACTGGCTTGTTTAAGCAATAAATCATTTTTCATTTTCAAAGTCACAAACATAACTTTATAGCTTGCATAACTATACTTAATTAGTAAATGTAGATTTAAATATGCAGAATAAGCAGCATTAAGCGAACTTAATTTTAAATTATGGGTTTGTGTGTTGTTTTTACAATCCATGTTAAATGCTTTTGCTATTTTTACTAAAGATTGCTTGAGATTCTCTATATATAGATTTATAATAATCTTAAATTGAAGCCTTTCTCTAAATTTTCTCTAATTCAAGTTGTAATCTGTAGCTGTTGTAAATTCCATTGTGATTCATTCGGACTTTCAGGAGTTATAACAAACATCCATCCATCCTAATTTTAAAATATGCAATATTAGTAAGATTGCAACTATTTTTTTTGCAGATAAAATGTCTATTGTTGCGAGTGTACTTATGCATAGCCATGTTATTAAAGTTGATTTGTTTATTAAATAATTATAGTCTGCTGATTGCGGTTTAATAATATTATGACTTTTGCATTGCAACTAATTTAAGGTTAAGCTAATCTATGCTAATGTATAGATGAAAGATTTGAGTGTGCGTTTGTTTGCATTGAATAAGCTCCGTACCTAAAGCGATTTGATAATTGCGAATTGATAAATGCGTTATCCCTGGATTACATAGGCTATGTTTATCATTAGTTTGTTGCGTTTCGTTCATTTTTGCGTGCGGTCGAGTCGCGAGTACATGTAATAATTAGCAGATGCTTGTATGTTACATTTTACTGTTAACTTTTTAATATACAGTATTTTTAATATGTTGAATTTTCACAAGTAAATAAATAAAAGAAGGTATTGTTTTATTATTTACTAATATTATTTTGATTGAATACATACATATGAATAAAGAGTAAATGTATTTGTTTAATTCCAGGTTGGGTCTGGAAAGAGGCAATTCTGCTGAGAGTGCATTGAATGTGATAACCAATCTTCTAGAGAAACATGGCCAAGGTGGGCCATGCTCGGAGTTTGATGACAGTCACTTCTATCATAATTCCTTCCTGATTGCTGATGCCAAGGAGGCATGGGTTTTGGAAACGAGCGGCAAACTGTGGGCTGCAGAAAAGATTACTTCCGGCTACAGAAATATATCTAATGGATTGACAATAATGACTAAATTTGATAAGTATTCAAGGGGATTGTTTGTTAAAGCCGAAGCAACTGGCTTCTGGAATGGTCAAGTAAGTAGTTTTAATTTTATTTATAACTCGCTTTTTACTGTATTATATTTTTAACCTAATTGAGGCTTCTGAAAAGTGAAAAATACAAATGTATTCATTATTTTTTATCAATTCCAGGATGAATTTGACTTCATGAAGTGTTTCTCATCGGGTGGAGATGAGAAGAGACAGCAGGAGGGGGAGAGACTTCTGCGGGAGGGGACGGCACTGAGATCCTTCGGAGTCAAGGACATGTTCAATGTTCTCCGCCACAAGGAAAGTGGCATCTGTCGCGGCTGCGAAGACACATTCCCTACTCAGGGCAGTCAGGTCAGCATCCAACACCCATATATGTGGAAAAACATATCTGACCACTCCGTCACAATTAAATACATCAGCTCTCTCATGTTAATATGAAATATGTGTTCACGTAGCATATACAGGGTGTCCATCTCTTTTTGTAACTTTTCTTATAATTTGATACCCTCCACCATATAATTACACACTGTGGCTACAAATATGAAGATATTGCTGCAATTTTTTTTGTATTAGCTACCTAAGTAGCATAGCTATTACTTGAAGTAAAAAAATCTGACCAAAACATTCGTAATTTAAACACAAAAAATTTTGGGACACCGTGTATATACAAATATTTCCTAACAAACATCCATCCATACGTTTTAACTTTTGCATTTATAATATAAGTATGATGATATTTCCAGGTGTCAGCGCTGTCGTTTGACGGGCTGAGTGTGCATTGGTTCACGGCGACTCCGGATCCCAGCATTTCCTATTTTAAGCCGTTCGTCTTCACGCCCAATTCCCATGTCTCGCCTTACACTGAGAGCCCTAATGAGGTAATTTGAAATATTTTATTATTTTATCTTTTTATAGCAAAGCAGGGAATTCCCTGAGCCAGTAAACAAAATCACATTGTTTAGCATTATCGATAGTAAATTCGGCATATTTTTGGCATTCTTTGCTAAACTTAAGGACTAACCTAACCTAACCTAGCTAAAGTTTATTGGATCCGTCATTATTCGATGACTCAAGTAAAATAAAAAAAAGTAAAATCTTTTTTCAGTCTATACAAAGTAAATACACGTCCACATCTAGCAAATATTTGTGTTTTTACATTTTTTTAATTTAATCCGATTAAAAGAATGTTAGCAATTCGACTACATGCTTAACTAGCGGTCGCCCGCGACTCTCTCTGTACGGTATTAAAGAAAACATAATTACTAGCCTATGTGTTCCAGACTGTTCAATATGTATACCAAATTCCATTGAGATCTATTTAGCCATATTGGAGATTAATTCAAACAGACGTACATCTAAACATTCGCATTTATAATATTAGTTATGTAGCATTTGTTACGTTATGTTCGGCTGGTTCACGTACCGAAACGTGCTACCGGTCCAAAGGTCTGACATCAACTGATACCACTCTCTCAGGCATGTACTTATGACGTGTTCGTTCGAGACAAGCAACACTACATTTATCCATACTCTACAAGTAATATAATAAGATTTCCTGATCTTTTATATAAATGTTTCAGCCTAAAAGAGAGCATGACCTTTACAAGTTGCATGCTAAATGCCAGGCCAAAGAAAACAGCGAGGTGGTATCAAAAATACTACGCGAAATGGAAGACAGCTGTTTGTTCGAAATTGAAGAGTTTTTAAGTAATTACGACCCAGATAATACTTCCTTGGAGGAATTAGACAACTTAATGAAGGATTGCGTTGATACTGAAGTTAAATTGTACGAGTAAACTTTTGAATTCTTTTATACGGACATGATTCTTAATATAAATATTGGTTTTCGCTGACGTAACACAAAAACATATAGCTATCCTTGTCTTATCTCTAATTCACTTCTAAAAAGGTAAGAGACAAATATTAAGAATTTCACAGCAAACGATAATATTTTGGTACATATCAGCAGTGGAAATTCACAGTTAAATTGCATTGAAAGCTTTATATCTCTTAATATTTGATTAATTTTTCATGTTTATCCTACTTAAGTATTTTTTTTTAATAGAATTAAGTATTTTTTTGTGCTCTAAATGTTAAGTTAATTTTAAAAATTTGAGCTTATTGATAAATAGGCCGGCTTTGTGCGGGCATACAGGCACCAGCTTTATAAATATAGAAATATATAAATATCTATTTCTATGAATGTTTTATATATTCACTTGTTATGTTGGCATTATTTTCTATGTACAATAGTTATATAAAGGACAAATTGTTCAGATAATATTATCAATGTTTTAAAGCTATTTTTTTCCATTTTTGACATTTCATATTAATGGGGAGAAAAACTGCCTTTGTGAGCAAAGTTATAGCAAAGAATAGATTGTGTGGTTATAAATATACCACAAATATACAAAAAAAAACATTTCTTTTATACTAGCTGTCGCCCCCGACTCCGTCTGCTAGGACTTAAAACTCAATGAGTAACCTATATGTTCTTCTGGACTATTTTCTACATCTGTACGAAATTTCATCAAGATCCGTTGAGCCGTTCCGGAGATACCTCCAAACAAACATACATCTAAACATTGGCATTTATATTATTATAGTAAAATATAAAGTAATCTGTGGACTGCAGTCATAATAACGTCCGTCAAATTTAACTGAATTAATTAACATTAAAATAATAAGTTTTTTTTAACGTAGTTCGTAAATTATTTATGACAAAAAATAGAAAAGGGTGTTTTTTAAATTGCAAGAATGACGTATATAATTTGACAGTTGACAGTTCATTCTTGACACTACCGCCACCTACTTGGAGCTTTCAGTTTTTCTCTCCATTATAAAAAGTTATAATACAGTTGTAGTTTAAATAAAAAAAAATTCTAGATATTTCTATGTATTAAGTTTTTTTAATACAAAATAATTTTAGACTGATTATATTATAGTTATATTTTTTTTTGTAAGATTTAAAAGCGTATTGTTTCGTGAGTACTTTGGAAAAGTCCTTTGGCGTTGGCTTTGAAATTTGCTTTTGCAAACATCTTAACATTTAAAAAAAAAGGTTTCTCTATTGGCGAATATAGAGGGCGCTTATCCAACTTGTTACTTATATGTGACTTATTACATAGTTACTTAACTCTATAAAAAGAAAGCAAAATTGTTAATACTGATAGGTATAAAAACTTGACAATTTATTGTAGTTATTTTTTTTTATTTTTAGCTTAAATTTCTTTTATTCTAGTTAATAATGTGCTTAAAGTTGATTTTAAAAGTTATAGAAAGGCAGCTATGATTTGCTTAATGTTTTAAATTTAAAAAACACGACTTATTTTTATAAATTTTATGATTTAGTCGCATATTCGTCATTTTTTTTGGTTTTTCTAAACTTTATGAAAAATTAAACGAAAAACAGAATGAAATGCATCACACTTAGTTAATTACTTAATTTTTTTTCTATACAGTTATAGTTATTTTTTTAATTTTAATTATAATTTTATATTTTTTTACATGCCAATTTAAAAAGGGCTATTTTTTATATGATCTAAGTCACTTAGATATATTTTTTAAAATAACACTTTTGGTAACATTTTGATTTTCAAATTATTGACTTTGGAAATTAAAAAAAACTGTTAATTTTATATGCTAACTATGTGCTATGGTAGCTATTTTATAAGTTTGATTTTTTAAACAAAAAAACAAATAAAATAAAATCATATACGTATTTCGTAATTTATATAAAAAAAATCTTAAATATGGCCTAAGAACATATCCGACTGTTGTGCTATAATTGTAAAGCTTTATTTTGTTTATTGAATATTCAAATAATTTCATTTATTTTAATGATAATTAGACATATATTTTAACTGAGATATAAAAGAAAACTGTTTCCAACTAAATTTTATTGTTTTTTTAAATATTTTGTATGTTCAAAAATACATATCTCTTAACTATTGCAGAATCGATAATTGGTCATTAAGCGTGACCCTTAGCGTAGATTGTAAGTGGACACTAATACCACTTTTATATAAAATATACATTTCGGCCGCATATCACTATGTCTGCTTATGCACTAATTGGATAGATGTACTAAATATAGATTCAACTATAGTGTAAATAATTAATAAACATAATAAGCGAGAAACCTCTGTAAGCGAGAAATCGCGTTCCTTAGAATTCTCGCTTATACTAGTTCGAATTCATCATCATCAGCTCACTACAGGTCCCCACTAAAGGGCTCGGAGCCCTAACATGGTCAACCACGGTGTTCCAGTGCGGGTTAACTTTACATATCTTTGAATTTCTTCCTAGATATATGTACAGCATCACGATGTTTTCCTTCACCGTAAGAACTTAGAAATAGCCAGTACACTGAAATTCACAAATTTTGATTATCTTACTGTAGTTAATTCATGTTTGAGCGCCATCTATCGGTAGTTGTAACAAATTATTGTTTTATTTTTCAACGTGCTATTATTTTTAATTTGAAACATTTTTATGTGTTTTTCTATTTTAATTTTTAATGTATCACTTTGTGCTTAATTTTTAGTCAGTATTTTGATATACGTAATATCTATAAGGTCGCTAGAGGCAAACATATTTCTATGTAATTATTTTAGATTTATGAATTAAATTTGATGGTTATCGCTGAAAACATAAATAGCTGAAAGGAATTGACTTAAAAAAATGTTTTTTTATGTTCCTTATATTGGTCATATTTGCGTGAAAATTCTCATTCGTTCGTCCACAGACTTTAATTATTCGGAAAAGCATAAATGACTAAGAAATACAATGAAATTTTATTAGACTATTGATTATTTTACTATGTTAATTATAATCCGACAAATTTATTTGACCCGGTGGGTAGGTGCATAAGTGACAAAAAATGTCAAAAAAAATCTCGTACTATAACTTTCTGATACAACTTTTTGTACAAGTTTTTTGACAGCTCGCTATAACAACATTCTACCGGGTCAGAAAAGTGTGTCGCATTATATTTAGTTTTTAATTATTTTTTAAATTTATGATGTGTCATAAAAGATTTATTTCTCGTTCTTATTGAATTTAATGTATGGTATGTTTTCATTGTAGCGATGGCTGATAATTTGTTAGCGTATTGTTAATGTTTAATGAAATAAAGATAATTATTATAATTCGTATTTTATTTGTTGTATATATAAATAGCGATAGCAAGGATTTTGTTACGATGTACATCCGCCATGTTGGAGTTTGTCGGAAACGTAGATTTTGGGTTTAAATATTTTAAAGCTTTGTCGTAATTTCTTATACAAACATTATCTTGGTCTACCGGTATACAGAAGAGACTGGAATTAATATTTTGAAATCTTTAACCAAAATATAACCAACTCCAATGTCTTTTTTAATTTTACTACTACTAGGTAAGGTGTTTTTACTACAGCATATCAGATAGCACCTCGCCAAGACAGCGTCTTACTGCGGTCGGCGTTAGCTCACCGTTACCAATTGAGTGAAAGAAGAAAGGTGGTATATAACGATACGTTAGTCTTGGACTAGTTGACGGTCTTGAAACTCGACCACTGCAGTGTTAACACGCCGCTGGTGCCCGCTGCGTAGTCAGCTTTCAACCCACTGCCTACTGGTACCGGGTTGCGTAGTTGATGACTTATAGCTACAATTAACTCTAAGTTTAAGCTTATCCAGAAAGATCTATGTAACTAAAGATTCTTTTGTTTTGATGATCAGTATGTTTATATAGTCTTCCAACAGGTAGTTTCGAAATTTGACAATTGATAACCGCCATCTTGTTGAAGGTTTATCTGTCAAATTAGCTGTCAATAATTCAGTCCGTCTCTCCTAATAATCATGGACAGATACAGCAATCAACAACATGTACTAATAATAAAAATAGATGTTCTTTTTAGGCAAAGTGACACGCGCTTTGCCTAGTTTACGATGACTATTTGCAAAGTGGATACGATCAATCAGCACCCGTACGTGGACGAAACGCCGCTGTCAATTTCGTACGCATTTGATCCCTTTTGAGCCTTTTATTGTAGGGTTTTCTTAAGCTACAAACCAGAACTATCTTTAAAGTCAACAACCACTGTCATCGGTGAATTTCAGCTTGTTTATTGCCCGAGTTATAAGTTACTAAATGGTAGTAAGAAGTGTTATGATTTCATTCAACTATTCTTGTTTTATTCAATTTTATTCCTTGTATCATCATATCAGACAATGATTCAAAATATTTACAATATATTTCCTTACAAGTCCTGTTATTTATACTAAAAATAAATTTGTAAGTTCGCGATAACCTTTTAAATGCGTGTTAAAGTCATTATTATACTGCGCGTTGGATAAAATGTTTATCGAGGAAATAAAGACGGTTACACATTTTCAGTTTTTACTCCACAGTCGTACTGTTGTAGTTAAAACTTATGATTGTAGGAAACTGTTAGATATACTGAACACGGTTCAGTTATTCCTAAATATACTTTTTCAATGAACAGTCCTAATGTTCTGTTAATACTGCAGTTTAAACTGTACGTGTGTAACCCACTTAAGCAAGGACGACGCATAAACGTTTATAAATTTGTAAACATTGAACTTTGTAGCAAAACAAAAGCACTTCCGCTATCACTTCTCTTTCTCAGTTCTTACTGTGTGAACGTCACCAACTACTACTACTGCTACTGCTACTAGTACTGCTAGAAAACAGCATTGTCATATATCAATGTGCTAGGAGCGCATATAAAAGGTGTGCAATTATGTTTTCTTTTGAAAAATAATGCTTTATTAAAGACTCTGAGTACTGTTTTCAATTATCTTGGCGGAGCAAGGTCACCGGCGCATTGCGCAGTGCCCTCCACCAGCATCTCGCTACCATTATACCCAAAATTGTGTTCTGAAGAGTGACTCGAAAGAAATTAAGAGCCGCCAAGTTATCTGAAAACCACTATTATACCAACATTGTTTTCAATATTGATATGTCTTAAATAACTAGACCTGTTGAACAATGTTTTTCTATAATATTTTTTTACAACTACCTATTTATACCTTTGTACAGGATGTATCAACAGAGCCAGAGAAGAGCTGTCCAGGATGTCAATATTCGTTTAAGATAATTTTATTGCAGTGATTTTCGAAATACGCATTTGCGTATTTACACGTACGCATTTCAGTTGCTAAATTCTAGGACGTCTCAGATGTTGTAATATCTGGATGCATTCAATTCGAGGCAAAAAAAAGTATCGATTTTTTTCTTTAATAATTTTCATGCTATTTCTATTTAATAATGCGTCTTTTAGACATTGTAGCATATATTTAAGGAAAAGTTATATATTTATTCAGATTAAAAACAAGAAATACAATAATTTATTGTTAATCTAGTAAAGACTAAATTAGTGTAAAGTTACTTACTATTGTGTTTTTTTAATTTTCTCATTGTTTTTATTATGTTTCATTTCAGTTTATCTCTATTAACTTGAGTGAACTTAATCGCTATTATGGATTACAAGGATATAGCAAAAAAGCTTCAGAAGGTAATATATATTTATATTTTTTTCTACAAGTTGAGAAACGAGCAAGCGGCTTATAGAAAAATAAAAGTTGCATTATGTAATTAAATAAAAAGATCAGAAGATTTATAGAAAAAAGATGGCCCCTATCATCTTGTCTTCGGATACATTAGCTTAGAGTCGTAGTCTTTTTCCTTTATTCCAATCTTGTAACAATTTTGCTCCCCAACTATTTGCTTATTGTTGCACCGGGAGAGCGGGTCACATATACAGCAGAGATATGCTGACTCTAGTACTGTTATAAATATTAATTTCAAACAGCAAAGTAACCAGTAAAGTTACTTGAGGTACGATTGTGTATGTTATGTGTTTTTCGATGAAAAAACTATTTATACTTTCAGGAAAACGAGAAATTGAAGTACCGCATTAATACTTCGAAAAATGAAAATGAAAATTATCACGTTACTACAACATCGAATCGCAGTTGCGATGACAAGGGGAAGGGTGACAAGATGGGGAAGGTTGACATGAAGAAAATCAAGAAATTCTAATGAACCACGATACTAAGTTTCTTTTTATATTAATCAATACTTTGAAATAATTTTATGGACATCTTTACCGCAGTACAACTCATTTTTTTTTGAAAAATTTGTTTTCTTTCAAATACCTGATATCACATATGCTCAAAAAGGTTCAAACTTAGTAACTTTTGGTAAGAATGCTTTTACAGATTTTACCTTGAATCAAGATATCTTAGAATTATTATTAAATTAAATATAAACATATTGTTTATTCAAAATTTCATAATACCTATAACTTTAGAGTTAGAAAATTAATTGAGTATTTAATAGAGATTGGTTAAATTTATTTCGTCGTAGTTTTATGGAGTTAACTCCAGATGCTATATTTCTTCTCCAACTGGTGAACCCTGCTATTTGCCGTTAGATCCTCCGTGGCCCTCACGTACTCAACATGGATTACTATAGGAATATTAATCTTATACTTCTTGTCTTTGTTTCTTTGCTCACGTGCTTGCAATGTTACCACACTCAAGATTTTAAATTGAAATTTGGTCTTAAAAACTACATTTAATGATTAATTGAAATAAAACAGACATTTTGTGTGTACGAATACACTTTATTTATTTTTGTTAACATTTTGATGACAGAAATAAATAAGCACAAAAACCCGTAACCCAGCAATATGGGCAGGTACTACGGTATTATACAGTCATACATACATTTCTTTTTAAGTGGTCAATTAAAAGTCGCGGGCGCTCGGGTCTTGAAGTTTGCGTGTTGATGTTTTACGCGTTTACAACCACAAGCGTAGTCATTAGACACACCTGACACGCGGCTCACGGGAGCAATGTGAACGCAGCTAGGGTCAACATACATTTTGATTTACACGCGCCCGCCTCCGTTCTGATTGACCACTAACAATTATACATACGCGTTCATACTTGTTGGATCTCTACGGGGTACAGCGATATTCAAACTTTATGGCGGCTCACAATTTCAATAGAGAACAGCGCAGACATATATTTTAGATTTCAGAGGAAATTAAACCGATGCGGCGGCGAGGCACACTCCTGCACGTTTCCTCTAATCGCATTGAATCATACACGAGCCGCCATAAAGTTTGAATCTTAAAACTAACACAACTACACATTCTACCACTTACAAATACATTTCTAAATCTATTTCTTTTTGTAATTTATGATTTTATAATTTTTTTTTGTTTTTACATTTTTAATATTTTTTTGTTGTTTTTATATTTTGAAATTTTTTTGGTTTCCCTTAATACACTAATATGTCTTGTAACCATTCCAACTGGTGGATATGGTTCTCGAAATAGACAAAACGGGATTTGAACCCACGATCATGAGATCAGATGTCTGTACCCTAAATACTTAAGCTATTGGCGATTCAAGCTTTTTAGCTTGACTCGCATACTTATACATAAGTAACTTAACAATATGCTTGTCCTACAAAGCAAACTATTAAACAATACTACCTTGACATTGACTTACAATTCTAAACAATTATTGTGCGACAAAGTTATCTGATCCGGGGCCTGATGAGAGAGACGCAAGACAAACAACGGGCGCCCAAGAGGGCGCTAGTATAACCTAACCGAAAATGTAGAATGTCTATCGTGAGGGGGCTATATTCCCTTTTGATATAGCAACACTCTACAATATGTCAATAAATCCAACGAATTAATGTTATATAAAAATTAAATCGAGTATTTTAAACTTATTTTACGTTAATGACATATAAAACATATATTTTTCAATACAACAAATAAAATTATCACAAACTCATAAATAACATTGAGATTACAATAAATACTCGGACAATCATTCAACAATTATGTCAATGTCATTGCCAGTGACTTTGACATTGCTGTAGTACAGACAGTGTTACCATTACAAGAAATTAGTTCTCTAAATTTGCCGTAATATGGTGAGATGTCCTATTTTTCTGATAACGTTATACTTAAGTTAAACTTTGGCGTACCGGGAAAGATAATTTTGTCTCATTATATTATATTATTAAGCATAAAACATGGCAAATACAAAATACACTTAAGCAAGAGAGGTCTTCTGAAATGGACAAAGAATAAAACTAATTATACCGAGATCATATGAAATGGAAATGAGAGACGAAAGTGATTTGATTTCCTTATTCAATTTTACAAGACAAGTTTTAATTTGACTCGTTCTATATATTTTTATCTTAGCGTTATGTTTCGAGTGACTTACTCAACCATATAAATGAAAATAAACATTTCTTTTCGTATAGTGTAGGCCTAAATGTATAGATAAATATTACCCTGAATAATAAAATATATGACATAGTAAAATTGTCTAAAAAAACTTTCAGTTCGGTATCTTATTTACGAGTACAAAAAACTCAGTCACAGGGGGTTCACGAAAATATTATATGATTAGTACTTTACATAAATATAAGGTTTAAAAAATGGTCGGAATGACAGAACTCTTGTAAGAGAAATATGTACTTATGTACAAATAACTTGTTATACAAGTAGGAGATAAAAAAATAATATAAATATAATATAACAAATCACAAGATATAGAGGCGGAGAAGACCAGAGTTGGGTATAGACAGTACATAATATATTGAGTATTAATATATCTTAAATTACGACAACATCAATGTTTCACATCAATATTAAATGTTACGTACAGAAGGAAATTAAAAAAAAACAAAATGTATACAATCACAATAATATCACATAGATATACAACAGTTACACATTCATTTTTATATACTAACATTTTCCGTACTATTTTCCACGTTACAAAGCCACAACCTTTTTAGTCCATCGCAAGTATTAGTAACACCAAACCAATTAATTTCCTTCAAGGCTTATATTATTAATGTTAATTTTTGACGGCTCAAGGTCAAACGCGCTGCACAGTACGTCAACGTCGCACTAAAAATCGTATTCCTCGCAACGACTCGTACGATGTTCCGAGCTGTCAAAATATTTAATTTTCTCTTATATTACGATAATCCCACAACTTCGTCACCATCTTAATATTCACTTTAAGAACTTACACATACACTATTTAAATGTCTTATAAAGTTCGCATAATTAAAATTCCGTACACAGTTAAGGATAAATGTTCTTAAAAGTAAACATGTATGAGATGCACAGTAACATAGTAATTTCTATATAACCTTGTGATATTATTGGTTTTAGAATTAACATTTATTTTGGCACACTCTCAAAAGTTTTTGCATTCATATTTCTGAGTGTCCTTGCCCCATGTAACCTAACCTAGAATAATATACGAGGCTATAACTGCCTTTTAGAGTTTGTTTCAATCTTTAACACTAATCACTAATCACAGTGTCTTTTGAGCACTTCAAGTCAATAGCGAATGCACAAGGAATTATATTCGCTTTCCACTTAGGAACGAAATTCGTACACTAATCACTATTACCTATAATTAAGCACGTATATAGAGTGCTATATCTTATAACTACACTGCAAATTTCTACCCAATTACATCAATTGAGTAGGGAATAAAAGTCCTCGACTCTTTCTGTAGGTTGCGACGTCATCGATACTTGTATTGATGCATATTGCCGTCGCTTTTATTTTGTTTGAAATAACAGAGACAACAATATGTTACAATATTAGTATAATACGAGTCGCAACCCACTGGTATGGTCATTATTTAATCGGTGCTTGGAGGAGATGTTGTCGGATCATCTTCGTTGACTATAATCTTATGGTATAAGCGATATAAGAAACGCAATGGCTTTGAATGGTGGAAGTAATTCGCCCTGAAAAGAAAAACATATTATTAGAAACAATACTAATATTTTATAGAAGATTAGTTTAACGTAGAAATTCCTTTTCACAATACATGCGTTTGCTTTAAATTGAATAGTATTGTTTAAAAAATAAATAGCTATACTAACTGTCGCCAGCGACTCTGTCGGCGTGGGATTAAAAAGTAGTAGGCTATATGTTCTTCCAGGCTCTGTTTTATATCTTTGCCAAATGTCAGCACTAACAAACATCCATCTATCCATCCATACATTAAATTATAGTATTTTAAAGTTATAAAAAGGATTTTATAAAACTTACTTCACATCTATGAGGATGACCCTAGCGGATTCAGTTTGACCCAAGGCGTGATGACACATCGCTAACTCCAACTTGGCATACGGTACCAGGAAGCGGTCTTCAGTTATGTAGGGTTTGATTCTGAAAAAAAAAACTAAATTAATGTTTCAAATATAGACAAAGAACTAAATTAGCTTTCATTTAGGAACGAATATCGTACAGACAAAACTTTCACCATATTCACATGAGATGGTACAGGTTTTTGTTTTAAATACGAACTTACCCGACTGACTCAAGACGGTTATATTTGCATTATTAAGCGACCGTCTGGTGGTGGACGTATATAGGTGGGCTTACCTGATGACGTCCTTGAAATATTTGACGGCGTCACGCGGGTTGCCGATAGCACTCAAGCTGCACCCGTAAATGTACAATACGTTAATGGTATTGTTCCCCTCAACCCCGACCGGTCTGTAATTGTCCCGCTCCTCCTCGTAGTCTGATACCACCAGCTTCATCATCTGCACAAGAAATATAAAGCTTAGTAGTCTATGCAAATTGTAAACGTGATAAGGATACGGCTATCATTTAATAGTATCAGTAGGTACCTTCAACATGAAAATTGTAAGACGCGGCTCGCCAGATATTGCCGCTGAGAGATTCCATAGACTCAACAACTCCACGGCGGGCACTAACAGTTGACAGCTTTCTATCTTGAAGTGATCAATGCCTTTTAGCACCTTGCTGTAATCTTCAAGCGACCTTCCTGACATTCTCAGAGTTAACAATGGCACCGATCTAAAAAAAAATTCTCGAATGGAAAAATACGAATATATATGCTAATTTAGATTTTTAAAAGAGTTACTGCCTTTTTAGGTAGTAATCGCGGCCACGTTAATAACACTTACCCGTTGCTCCACATTATTTCCGAGGCACAGAAACGTGGCAGTTGAGCCACTTCTGGCGAGAAGAGAGCGATGTGGCGATGTGTGGCCGCGGCCATTGCACAGTGTTCACGTAACTGTTGTAGCCGCTTCTTATCTAGTATTATCCATCTATCCGGGATAAACTGCAGAAATAATATTATTATTATCAAGATCAATGTATTCATATTATTATATATATAGTCTTCATCAAAGTTCTTACCTCAACAGTTGCATTTTTAACGCTTATTTCCAAGCGGTCTGGTAGCGCAGGGATAAGACTAAACACTGTTAGAATACCCTGTTTTATTCCTTTCTCAACTATGTTAATTGATTCTTCAGTCTCAAAAAATTTTTCCTCTAATACCGAGTACATTTTCCTGTTGAACAGACATTGGAAATTATAATGATGATAAATAAAGGAAACAAGGTACTCGTTGAAATATGTGCTCGTTTCACTTAGCAATAACCTAAGCCTAGATTCCAACCAAGCTTCGATCCCCAGATGAGAAAGTTAACGTTTTCGTATGAATTAATTCACGGATATCAACTTAATCTAAAAGATTAAAACTCCAAATAAAGTTACGTAAGTAAATTAAGTTATAAAAAGTAAAATTCCGTAGCTGTTAAAAATATCAAATGTGCGCAATCTTTTATCCAGGTAAATCTTTCCTGATTATGAAGTCTCGTATGCGTGTATTTATAATAATCCAGCGTTTTTATTTAAAATGATAGACGTATAAATATTAATATTTACCTAAAAGTATAAAAAGTTAAATTTAAATTAAGAGCAACCCGCAGGAGGTCCGGTATTTCATCAGCGTAATCAAATTCCCGGAGAACCTGCAGGAGTTCCTTCTAGGCAGCACAAAGCAGCCTTTCAAAATCCGTGTCGGTCATGGTGTCCACATGTAGCTGCAACAGAACATATAGAGTACGCTTCCACTGTCATACAGAAAATGAAAAAAGTAATTGTCGCCACTATAAAAACATGACCAATAATGTGACTTCTGAAAGCAGGGAATATCATTTTTTCATGATTTTCATTTTTTAAGTGTTATTTTATGTACTGTTTCCTATTCAATCTTATTCCGTTCTGAAGCTATATCAGTTTTCACGGCTTAATAAGTTGCAATGTTTACATGGGTCCAATCAAGTTACTTAAATTATATCCATTTCTTGTTTAGAGTTTGATCTGTAATTCATAAATCTTGTGCTCTGATAGCAATAAAATAAATATTTAAATAAGCCGTTGATGTACAATTTTTTTTTTTGGGGAAATGTGATGTTTTTATGAAAATAGACTTACCGACTCCAGAGTGTACTCGTTAGCATCGAAGTTGTACTGATGGAGGTAAGCGTCGCGGGTATATCTCATTGTAGACATTAGGTCCACGACGAGGGCGTGGGGAAGGGGCAGCACCTCGTTCTGGCTGTATTGTGACCAGTTCGAGCCGTGGGAGAGTGCAGCACGGTCCCTGAATAAACAACACGACGACCAATGACTACTTGTTAACTCTTGGAAAATTTGGATTCCATAATCGGTATCTGTCTGGTGTAGCCATGTACTCGCTAACTAAAGCTGCTATAAAGTTTGAATATTATAATAAGATGAATGACTCACCAAGCGCTCGTGACGATTATTAAATTCTCCAAATCCTTGCGGAAGAATCTTGTGAGCGCGAGGTGGCAGTGGTGTAGTATTAGGTGCGGATCCATATCTTACCTGAAACAACCACTTTACCATTTGACAAAAGTACACGTTATCCGAAAATAAATAATTGTGATATCTGATTATAACTATTAACCCGGTGGACAATCATCATGTTTTGAATTTAAAATATTTTTAACAAATAATCTGGTTTATAAAAGATCATACAGATTTGAACATGATTAAGACAAAATGAAACGGCTTTTCAACATGAAAAACAACGATGACGCATCAATATCGAGCTCGTCTTTATCGCCTACGCCATACCTCCCTCCCTCTTTCTAAAGCCCCCCTGCGCCCCCCCTCCGTCTGTCTGGAGCCCCTCTACGCCCACCTTCTCAAGCTCCCCCCGCCCTCCCTCCCTCTCAAGTCGAGAGTTGCGCGCCGTGACCCCCCGCCACCCCTCCCACCATGCCCCGTTGCGAAGCGCGATTCGACCCTGGATCCAGCCCAACTAATACCCATCCTGATGAAGGATCTCCGACGATTAAAAATTTTAATAGAAACTCACCAAACGAAGAAACGGTTTATCTGTTTTCTTATTCAACGATATTTGTAGTCTTTTGTAGCTACCTGAAATTAAAAAAAAATGTTTTTATTTTTTTAACATTAATACTTGGTAAGTAATATTCAAATATCTTGGCGGCCCTGATCGTCGCAGTAGTTGCTACCCAGTACGCAATGTAAGGTAAGGCGGGGCATAAGAGGTAGTGCGCACTGCGCATTGCGCAGATGACCTTGGCTCGCCAAAAAGGTTGAAACGATCAATACTAAGAATATGCGACACGGTAATAAAACACACAAAGGTGATGCCACACGGGCTTAGTAGAGATAATGTGGCAGTGATGCACGCAGAGATTAAAACCGAAGCGAAGTGTAAAAAAAGTAAATCGTACCTTCTTAATCAAAAAGCAAAATATGCGCTATGTTATCGCTTCATTTTTATCTCATTAACATAAGATGTTACACGTCGCTTCACTTTAAAACAAATTAAAAAAAAACTTACGTAAGAATAAAGCGCAACCAATCCGTCTAGTAGATTAATAGATTTTTTTACACTGAAAGATCTTTTAGAACTTTACTACACTTAATAAATGTGTGCATAAACTCGGCAAATAAGCAAAGTGATATTATTGCTTCAATTCAAATTAATTTACTTTAAATTAAGAATAAGAATATTTTCTTATCAGAATCGAAACAGACGTCCGATCAGGTCGGCGTAGTCTAGACGAGTGATCAGGGCGCGGTTGTGTCCGATTTGACCTAGGATATTGAGCATGCGCTCTGCACCTCGCTCAGCCCGGGCTGTATCGATTTATCGCCACCCCCCTCCGCTCAACCGTTACCAACCGCCCACTCAACTTAACTGAAGGTGACCTTTTTACCCTTAACGCGCATGCGTTGCGTCTGATTTTATTAAAAATGGCGACTTTAAAAGACGATCACTCATCGATTGTGATTAATTCCATGGCTCCTAGGTAAACTTTCGTAAGACATAATTTTGTGTTGATTTACTTCCTATTTTATGTTTTTTTTTAATGAACTTGGTAGATACTAATTTCTGTCTTAATTGGAAAGTAACATTAGAAAGAAGAAGAACTTTACATTTTGGTTTTGTATGTTTATGTTTCATAGGTCGTGATGTATCTTATTTACGTTTCAAGTTTTATCTTTCAAAATTGTCGTTTGAAACATGCAATAATTATTAAAATGCTATCGAATTATGTTTCGTCGTCGGCAGCTCATACATGTTCCCACTGAGGGGCTCGAGCTAACATTATGTGAAGGATGATTAGGACTTAGTCATCCAAGCTTTCTCAGCGTAAAGCGGTTTACTTCACACACATCTTTGAATTTCTTAGAAATGTAAAAACATCTTTTTTATTTTAATAAAAACTTTTGTAATTTTTCTTATTGACTTCCACTGCGCAATTTCTTTAGCGCAGAATTTAAAAAAATCTTTCCAATCGCACCTCGCTCAGCCCGGGCTTTATCGATTTATCGCCCCCCCCCCGCCGCCCCACCGCTAAACCGTTACCAACCGCCCACTCAACTCAATTGAAGGTGACCTTTTTTCCCTTAGCGCCCATGCGTTGCGTCTGATGTTGTTCAAAATGGCGTCTCGATCACTCATCGATTATGAATATTGGTTATGCAATGGGACCTTTTGCGCTCATCCTCGTTATGTTTATGCCGGTTAAATTTTAATTTAAACTAAGTTCAAATTAAGTTTTTTTATTTTATTAAGTTCCGTAACAGCTTATATGATTTTAAAGTTACTTTGAAAAATATTGTTAATAGTTATTTGATGTTTTTATTAACTCAATTAAGTGTTAAAAAGTAAATCGTAGATAGATAGCTACGTAATAATAAAAACAAAATATGCGCTCTGGTATATCATCATTTTTGTCTCAGTAACAAATAGGTGTTACACCTCGCTTAGCTTTTAAACAAATTAAAAAAACACTTACGAAAGTATAATGCGCACCCAATCCTCCTTGTGGATTAATGGAAAAATTTTACACTTTAGGATCTTCGAGAACTTCTCTACACTTAATAAACTTATGCAAAACCTCGGCAAATGAGCAAACTGGTACTAATGCTTCAATGAAACGACTTAAATTAGGTACAGGAATATTTTCTTATCTGAATCAAAACACAGACGTCCGATCAAGTCGGTGTTGTCTAGACGAGTGATCAGGGCGCGGTTGTGTCCGATTCGATCTAGGGCACTGAGCATGCGCTCTGTACCTCACTTAGCCCGGGCTTTATCGATTTATCGCCACCCCCCTTCGCTCGACCCTTACCAATCGCCCACTCAACTCAACTGAAGGTGACCTTTTTACCCTTTACGCGCATGCGTCTGAGTTTAATAAAAATGGCTGGTTTTTCAAAATGGCGTCTTTAAATGGCGACCACTCATCGATCATGTTTAATTCGATGGCTTCTACGTAGTCTTTAGTGAGCCACGATTGCGTGTTTTACCATCTGTTTTATATTTTTTGAATCTGACTTGGTAGATACTAATTTTTTGAGTAAATATGAAAGTAACGTTGGAAAGAAGAACTTTACATTTTGGTTATTTATTTTATGTTTATGTTTTATGCGTCGTAATTAATCGTATTTATGTTTCCAGTTTTATCTTTCAAACATACGATAATTAATAAAATACTATTGAATTATGTTTCGTCGTCGGCAGCTCATACATGTTCCCACTGAGGGGCTCAAGCTAACATTATGTGAAGGATGATTAGGACTTAATCATCCAAGCTTTCTCAGCGTGAAGCGGTTTACTTCACACACATCTTTGAATTTCTTAGAAATGTAAAAATATCTTTTTTTATTTT